CAAACACATTAAAAAATAATAATACATTCAGTTTCTCCTTAAATAGTAGCTTAGTGAAAGGAAAACAGGGAACATGCAAAACATGGCACTAAAATCAATGAATGGCAGGAAAGAAGCATAACGCACAGAAGTGCAGTTCTGTGACTGTGTGACAAGGCCATACTGCAATCATCAAATTTCAGCTGTGAGTTGCCCTCACTTAGTTGTAAGGGCAAATTCAGGTAAAAGATATGGTCTGCCCTTATTCCCTTCAGGTGGCTTCAGCAGACAGACTGAATTAACAACCCATGCATTTTCCCCAGTGTCGCATACAAACTGCACTCTAAACAAAAAGGAGGCATCTGCTCCAATCCCTAAATGCTAGTTTCACAAAGGATGTATGTGCAATATACCTGACCCACGATGGTCTACTGCTACAATACACTGTCATAGGGTACCTCTGGCAGAAGATAGTGAGGACTCCTGAAGTTCTCAATTTTTGTCTTCCAATGCCTTCCAATAAACAGCATGGCAGCAGAACTGACACAGTAATAAAAGCATATGGGATTACAAATCACAACATTATATTTTTTATAAAGGACTGAATATTATATATTTAAAAGCCTACCTCCGTTCTCCCATAATATAGAGCAGACAGCAGGACATGTGAGTGTATTCAATGTACAACTGCAAACCGTGAATGGTCTATGAAGACCACTGAAGAATGAAGACCAAAAACTATGAAGTAGCTCCAAAAAGTAAAATAATTCAATTGATTTAAAATGGAAGTATACACACACACATACTCCACTAAACTAACACTTTTTAAGTGCAATATTGGAAATTCTCTCTGCCAAGACCAAGTCAAATCTTGGCAGAAGTCACTCAATAGGCATTTTCCAACCTGTGCCCCAGAAAGCAACTCCTACAGGACAGCAGAGAGCAGGGGATCGTATGGCACCGCCCCTCCTCCTTCCTCCTGGCCGGCTCTTTCTCTGCTCTGGCTTATCGCTGCCATCAGAGCAGCACACAGACTTTTCCAGGCAGTTAGTAGTAAGGAGAAATACAATTCCTGGCTACCTCCAATAACACTCACTGTTACTTAAGCAGAAAAGCACTACGAATTCCGTCAGTAGCTACTGAAATGTATATATACACATACAGAGATGTGCATTTAAAGAAACCTTTATTTGCTTGTGGCTTTTTGTTTGTTTTTAAATAAATACTCTTCATGCACCAGGAATATTCAAGAATGGAAGATCAAAAGGTCCAGCTATCACAATGTGATTCAGACCATGAAAATCATCAAGCAAACTCCCAGATTAAATTATGCATATTGCACCTGCGCAGCAAGTATTTTTTTTTAAAGATCTGCAAACATCACAGGATGACTAAAAAAGAGGCAAGAACCCAGGCAAGAAGGATTCCAGCATTCAGGAGCAAGAGCACTCATCTCCAGGAGAACCAAGAGCACTCACAGGCAGTGCATAACACATTCCCCATAGGAGTGCCCAACAGGTAAACTGATGAAGGCAGCATTCCCACAAAACAACAGGAGACACACTAGCATTTTTCTGTCTTTGTAAAATGTCTTTTTTGTTTTGTTTCTTTGTTTGTTTTTTAGCCAAAGACTACACATTAGCTACACTGCAAGGGAACAACTATTTAACATACTTTCAGGGAACAGGAAAGACGTCTTAGGAAGATGAAAACATGTAACTGACTTCTCTTCATCTTCCTACCAGGACAGTAATTTCAACTATGAAAATATTCCAGTACTTATTTATCAAAATGCAGCTCTGAAACTTAGTATATCACAACTGGACTCTCCATATGCCTGCTGCACAGCAAAGCGGGTGGTCCAGCATTCAGATCTGGAGCTCCAAACGTAGCCGGATGTTCCACCACAACCAACAGAACTTGGTTTCCAACAGATGTGCTTCTATGAAGCCCAGTGGCTATTTACCATTAAGTACCTCACTTGCTTCCATGCTTCCCCACACATCCCTAGGATTCTTTGCATTTGCAGAACTGTTAGTCCATATATGCCCGTTTCCAAATACTGACACTTCAACCCGTGCTTTTGTTAGCTCTCAGCTCTTCCTCTCACCCCCAACCCCTTCTTTACACACCACCCACCCCATTCCCCACCACCTCTGCACAGTGCTAACCAAGAGGCAGTGCTCATGAAGCCAGAATGAAGAGGTAATTTAGTACCAGATCCTTTGGAACCACCTCAGAAATGCCCTCCTTGTGGAGATGGGCACTGTGCAATTCCATCAAGGCCATCCAGCTCAGAGGGACCAGGAGCCTACTGGTACACTGATAAAAAGCCCCTGGGGTGCAGTGAAACTGCTGGCAGCAACTACCACTTCACTCCAGTGATGAGCAGCAGAAGGGTCTGGAGCTGCTCACCGGGACAGCCACCTAAAAACAGAAGCCATGGATGAATTGGAGCAGCGCTCACAGGCAGTACACATGGAACCAGGCCCGACAGAAAAACGCCACTGTTCTTCACAGGGGAGCAGAGGAAGAGGATGTTCATATTAACAAGTATCAACTAGTGAGAGATTAATTACCTATGTGGGACAACCTGACCTGTTGTTAACAGAAGCCTCATTGCAGCTTCCTCCACCCTTTGTGATTTATACCTGCTCCTGCCTTGGGGACAGGGAACAGGCAAGCAGACAGCCAGCGCTGCGCCCTGCCACGCTGCAGAAGCCCGGTACCGGCCTGGAAGGGGAGACAACTGGAGAACACTGGGCCACCACAGTTCGCAAGAGCAAACACGAGTGCACGCATACAGCGGGCAGCGTGTGGGACCTGCTGAGCCGGAGGCACGGTGCCGAAACGCCCTGGTTGAGCGTCCCTCGCTTCGGCCCTGCTTACGGCAGCTCTACGTGAGCTGTATCCGGACAGCGATGAAACAACAGACAACACACAGTACACAGCAGGAAAGCAGCGGCGTTTCAGGTGTAGCACGCATTCTGCGTTCGGAACAAAGCCCAAAGCCCAGAGCCCGGGCCGTGCGGCAGCCGGAGCCCCGAGGAGCGCGGCGATCCCTGCCGCCACACGGCGCGGAACCCCCGGGGCCGTTCGCCCGACGGCCGCGCGCCAACGGCAGCGCCGCGCCTCCGGCCGCACGCAGCGCCCCGCTCCCGACCCCGTCCGCACACCGCCGCGGTGCGTGCAGCCGCGCTCCCAGGAGCGCCGAGCGACACAAAAGCGGGGACCGAGACGGCCCCGCGCGCCGCAGCCCGCACGGCACCGCACGGCTCCGCCTCACCGACCGCGCGTTCCGCGGCCGCCCCCGGGAAAGACGGCCGTGCCCCCCGCCGCGGCCCGGCCCCCCGCGCCCGTACCCGCGCCTCGGAGCGCGCAGTGACAGCGGACATAAAAGGAGCGGAAACAATGACATTCCCGCGGCCCTCCTCGCCCCGCGTCCCCTCGGCCCGGCCGGGCCCCGCGCTGAGCTCCCCGCTCCCGGCCCCCGAGCGCCCCGCGGGGCCCGGCGCCGCCCGCCCTCCCGCCGCGGGGCTGTGTCACGCCGGGCCCGGCCCGGCTGCCCAAACGCCGCCGCCGCCGCCCCCCGCCGCGGCCCCGCTTACCGCCAGGTCGGGGCTGTGCGAGTCCCGCTGCGAGACGGCGCGGATCACCCCGGCCCGCCAGCGCCCGCTCTCCGCCGGCTCCTCGCCGCCGCCGACGCACAGGAACCGCTTTCCCACCAGCTCCGGCCGCGTCTCCACCGCCACCGCCATGGCCGCCGCGCAGCGCCGCCGCCGCCGCCGAGCCCGCTCCGCCGCCCTACGGGCCGCCCATGGCGCGCGGCGGGGGCAGCGCGGGGCTCTTCCCTCGGCGCGGTGGGTCCGCGCCCCTCGGCCGGGCCGCGCCGGGGGCCGCTCCGCCGCTGCAGCGCGACGCAAACACCGCGGGGCGGGGGAGGGCCGGGGGCGCGCGCTCCCTCCCTCCCTCCCGCGCTCGCTCACCGCCGCGCTGCGGCCCCGACCACTCCGCCCACGCAGCCCACTGCCATGGCGACCGGCGCCACGCGCCGTCTCCCTCCGCCAGGCAGCGCGCGGGGAGGGGGCGAGCGGCCGCCGCGCGGCAAAGAGTCCGGAGGCGCTCGGCCCCGTCGGGGCTCCCGGGTCTCGGGGGGACGCCGAGGGGAGCTCCGCGCCCGGCGCGGCCCCGGCGGCCGTCGCCCGCCCGGCGGGGAGAGGAGAGGAGAGGGGACGGGACGGGCCGGGCGGCGTGCGGCGCTGCCGGCGGCCGCTCCTCCCGGCGCGGGCCTGGCGCGGTCCCCCCGAGCGGAGCGGAGGCGCCCCGCTTCCGTGCCCGTCCCCGGGAAGAGCGTGGGTCCGCCGCGATCCGACACGCGCTCGGCGCCCGGTCCTGCAGGGGGCACGGCCCCTTCCCGAGGCTCTGCCCGCGCCGCGTCCCACGGAGGTGCGGTGCTGGGGAGCCCGGACGCCGGGCTCGGGCCGGGGCACGCCGTTCTGGGGGGCTGAGCACCGGGAGTCCGGGTGCTGCCGGCACAGCCGCTTCGCGGCTTCTAGTTCGAGACTGGGTCTGCAAGCCGCACTGCCTCTTCTCCCCTCCGGTTTAGCTGGGTGCTACCCAAGCATCCATCTTTCCTTACTGCCAGCGCCGAGCTGTACGGGAACGTTTATCCCTCACGAGCCGTTAGAGGCACGAACCCCGCGGCACCCAGCACCACCGCTGGGCACCGAGCTTAGCGTGCCTCCGCTCAGAGCTCCGGCTCTGGCACAGAGCGCGGCCTCATTATGCGTTGCTCCGTCTCCATCCGTTGCCGTTCTACTCGGCCTGTGTAGTAACGCTGAGACTGAGTTTTAAGGTATTTTCCATCCTGTTACCGAGCAGCGCAGCTCTTGTGAGCTCCTGCTCTCTGTACTGGTATGCCTGCTTTCAATAGGGCAGGTTAATGATCTCTCATCTAATGCTGGAAAGCAAATTTGAATAGTGCACTTTGTGAAAAATAGATTGTGAGGCAAGAGCAATAATTCAGAAGTGCCAGCCTAGCACATTCCCATGTATTTCAGTGGAACAAATAACTTCTGGTACAAGAGAAGTTAATTAAAGAGAAGAACAAAGAGCATTAGAATATTTCACAACACATAACATTCACGTGAGAACCCTGAGCTGCCTGGCATCACCTTGGCAGCAGGCTGGGGATGCACAGAGATGCGTTCCATGGAACTTGCAGAAGAAAAAAACACAGTGCATTTGAGCAAAATGGGCCATTCATCCACATTTCAAGGTAATGCTACCACTGACCAAAAACCTGCAGCCTCACGCAACGAGCAAAATGACACTTACATAAGAATGGAGCACTTTATGAATAAGTATAGTATAAAAAGCAGTTACAAGGACAGCTGAATAAGTATTAATCATATCAAAACTCTTTATAGCTTTATTAGATTCCCTCTTGTTTAGCCAAAGAGTAATTTAAGATTATTACTGAATTATACACTTAAGTAGATTACATTAATGTGCAACAAATCATAAAAATATGCCAAAAAAGCTGAGTTACATGATTCTAATTGGCTAAGCTTGTGAATTTATCATAGAAGTATTCTAGTTTTCATAGTAATCATCACAGAGTATTAAGAATCAAATACTATTTTACTTGTTCCAAATAAATCTGGTGTCATCACCTCACAAAGCGATGACACCAGAATAAAGTTCCAGCATAGTTCAGAACTGATGACATTAATGCTTAGGTGTAAATTTCAGCAGTCAGTTCCCAGACGCCAAGTGAAATCTCTGCCCAGCTCCCCACCACACCTCCCAGCGCCTTCTTTGCTTCCTCCTTTTCACCGTCCACCTCTGCAAGGAGCTGGAAACAGCAGAGTGCCAAGTGCTTGGCGTGCAGATAAATCAGCTCAGTCTCCAGCTGCAGCAGAACTTAAGGCAATGGTGCTGTGCTGGGGCCTCAGCGCTGAAGATGCAGAGACCAGCTTGTAAATGCTCAGTGCTCTATCATATCACACTGCAGTAGGATTTCTTCCTGCCTCAGGAGCCTTTGTAGGAGTCAGACCAATATAACCATCTCCCTTTTAAAGCAGTACCTCCTCTACATCCTTGACAATTGTTTATGCAAATACTTGAAGATTTTAAATATCATCATCTATAGAAAGGATTAAGGACAGCATGGATTGATGCATCTTCTGAAGAAAGTGGCAGAAGGAAGCCTCCTCTCAGTTTAGTTCAAGATGCCAGAAAAGTCATCCTCCCTGGGCTCAGCAGCAGCACTCAGAGACAGGCAACACCAAAACAGAGACGACGTTGTCAGGCTTGGAGAATATCAAACAAATTCCAAGTGAAATGTCTCAAAATCTGGACATGAGAAGGAGTCCTGACAAGCTCTCCCATTACTGCACTTCACTGCCTCTGCAGCTTCTCCCTACCAAATAAACAAATCACAGTTTGTTTAGGCAGGTGCTCTTTCTTCCCCCAAATTTCCAGAGCTATGAGGACTCAGAGCCAAGCATCAGATCCATGAGCCCAAAAGGCTCAGCTGTGCCCCTCTCCGCACAGCCCAACTCAAACTCACTCCAGCTCTTGCCATTTCCACGCAATCCTTGCCCTGCCTCAGGTGTTGGGAACTATATCCTCTTGATCTGTGGGTGCTTCACCCCTCTTTGCCCATTTTCCACCCCAGCATTCTGTGACTGAAGTGCCTGAGGCTGAGCCCCAGGGCAGGGGGCTGCTCTTAAGGGAAACTCTCCTGTTGCACTTAACACCCAGCCCTAGCACAGCTTTGGTACTAAATGCCAGCAATGAGTGACTTAGGTACCAGCATCTTCAGGCAAAGTAAAAGAAGTTCAGCCATCCCAAAAAAAAACCATAGTGACACTGATGCTAGATATGGCTTGCTGGGTCAATCCTTTCTCACCCAAATATAACCAGTATTTAACACCTGAGCCCACCTGAGGGAGGCAACTCTGTCCTGTCACAAAGGGATAGGAATAGGAAAGGGAGGGATACAAAGATCCACTTTTCTTCCATCCTTTCAAGCAATAATAAAAGCTATTTCCATGATTTTGAAATCACAGCATCTTCCATCTTTTGCTGCAATTGAAAAGACATTAATGGTGCTGTTTTTATTTTCAACAAGTGGATTCTATGACTATTTACCCCTCTTCAGCTGGGCATTGAACTGCATGTTACTAATGGCATCCTTTAAATGTCACAGACTGCTAAATCACTTATTTATACCCATATATTTTCAGTTCCCCATCCCTGAAACTATATACACAGGTCGGTTGCAAAATTAAGATCTTTACAAGGAGCTATTTCTAACTTCCAAGTTGAAGTGCAGCACAGCTTGTGTTGGCAGTAATTGTACTTTCTGCATACAGAAAACGCTACGCTTAGAATTGGCTATTTCCACTTTGCAGCAAGAAAAATTCACTGAGGAAGGGCAAATGACCTGTTGCAGTCACAACTCTTAAGGGGAATGGATGTTGAATCAGGTCTCCCTAGAATTCTATAGCGTATGCTTTTAGATCCATTTTATGTTTCCTTGGAAAATAATAAATGTCACTTTCCTCTGAATGGGTAACTTATCAGAGATTTGGAAAGCCACATTTTGCTTCTAAAGGCTCACTACTAGGAAATTAAGAGTCTATACTTAGTAGCATTTTTCATCATTTAGTTTTTCAATGTTTCTCAAATAGAAAATAGACAGTATACAATAGTTAAATAGACAGAATAGACAGAGAAAAGCTTCCCCCCCTACAAATATCAGTCTTTCCCCTCCAAAACTTACTTTGGTCTTTAACTACCTTACTATTATCTTCTATACAGAGTCCAAGAGCTTTTTGTAATGCATCCTATGAAAAATTTCTTCTGTAAGCACATAATTGAGTAGTGAGGCAATCCCTAAGCACTAAATGAGACATAAATCTAGTTAAAAATATATATCACTATTTTAAGGCACTTATTTAATGCAGGTGCAGAGAGAAATGCAAAAAAAAACAAAAACAAAAAAAGTGCAAAGATGCATCACAGAAGAGATGAGTCTCATGTAACTAACATACAGTGACTCACTACTATTTATCTGATTGTCTATGGCTGCAGCTCCATTCAGAGCTGCTGGCTGGCCAATCCTGATCCTTTCCTGTGCCTCAGATTTCTAACGTGTAAAAGGGCTGCAAATTTACTGCAGTGTTTACACTGCAGTTAAATACACAACCACTCCCCACACCCAGGTATTGCCTGCAGGACTTCCTTAATGTTGTCCTAACTGTGGCTACAGCACACAAAGGAGGAAAATTTCCGCTTATTGCATGTGCAAATCACTTCAACCACATCTGTACTAGAAAACATTGTAATTCACGTGGTGCTGCTCTATCAGTTCTGACAACAATACGGAATGCTGTGGGGTTGTTTTACAGTGAATTTGCAACTGAGATGAAAATAAAATATGCTCTGATTCTAGCATTTCTTTCTCTTCCAGTTAACAAGGTGTATGGGAACTGTTGAGTCATGGCCTGAAGCACTGATGGAGCACCTGTGGAAAGGACCCGTCAGCCCTGGGAGCACAGGTGAAGACAAGAGTGGAGCCTGGCTGCACCTCTCAGACCTCATGTAAGGGCTGACTGCCACCGGGAAGGATCTCTGGTTGGAGATCTCTCCTATGTGGAGTCTTTCCTGTGAGCCTACATCTTTGGAGATGGGTGAGCACCTTTACTCTCCTTTGATAATACCATCCTGTCTGTTCTGGTCTCTTTGCTGCTGTGTTCCTGTGTTGCCCTTCCACTGTGTTTCTGAATGTAACATGAGGAGTAACCAAAAGATGAATGAATAAATCACAGAAGAGTTTGGATTGGAAGAGAGCCTAGAGATCATCTAGTCCAACTGCCCTGCTGAGACCAGAATCATCTTTCATTTGATCGAAACCTTCTCCAGTATGATGATGAACACTTCTATTGAGTAAGTGGAGACACCTACTTAAACATGGTTTTCTGTGCATCCCCTTCCTCAGAAAGTTTGTTGATGCCTTAAGGTATTAACCACTCTATCTGCCTACTCAAGCCTAAGCTAAGGCTGGTGTTTCACTGCTTCTAACGGTGCAGTATAAATATAAAAATACCTGTTTTGTACAAGCTCTGAAACCACCAACGTTATGGTTATCTAGAGTGTATTTTTACTTATTGCTTGTTACATAACACTAAAATGTTGTTTGTTGCTATCTCTTTACTGTGACAAGGCTTTGAAAATCAGCAGATCAGCAACAGTAAGAGAACTTGTGAAACCAATTCTTACTACTTTATGGGAAGCACCCACCCCAGGTTAGTATGTGTTAGTCACTCAGACTCTTTGTAGAAGAACTTCATTGTGTGATGATTTAATGATGCTTAAGTAATCACTTTATAATTACCACTAAAATAAATGTATCTATTCTCTCTGAATTAGGAGCTAGACCAGGACACTTATCCTCACTGGAGATAACTAATGTACTATGTGAGACCCTAACTAATAAAGGCAACACGGGGGAAGAGGAACAATTATTTTTGACTAAAACCTTCTGTTTCAACTGAATGCATGAAGTGTTGTGAGCATCTTCAACAACTCCAACTCAGGAGGCAAAATCTTTAAAGCTTGATTAATACTCTACTTAAACCTCAAATAAAGCTTCTCATGCACTTTAAAATAACAACAAAAGATCAGTATTAAGGACTGTGTCATTGTTCTCATACAGGTAACTTCCTCCCTGCTGAATTTCTCCAGTTTACTTGCAAATTGCTTTGATGTTTCTGCAGGTAAGGGCTCCTGCTGATAGCAGCTTTAGGTTGAAATTATTTGGATGCTATTTGGATTGCTCTGACATAACTAAAACAGGTAATGGTTACAGTAAAAATATAACTTAGCTTATCATGCAGTAGTATGCTATAGCAAACTGATTAGATATTTGGAAGGCTGGGAATACTCTATATCCAAGATGGGAGCTAGCTGAACTTAGTTATCACTAATTATGTGCGAAGTAGGAAAAATTACTTTAAAATATTACTTACGAGTACTTCCTTGTTGGGTGAGGGAAAACAGAAATGTCGTTTCTTTCTGATATCACGGTAGAAAGAAAAGTTCATAGACAGTCATTTAAAGAAAAGAGTTCCTCTAGCTAATGCCTTTTTTTAAAGGTTCAGTACTATCTTTCTCCTCAGTTTCTTTGCTCTGTTTCTTTTAATATCACTTTTATTGCTACGTTATACAAATTCCTTTGCATTTTCTCAATGCAATAGTTTTGCTCTTGCTATATCATAATCCATGTATCACTAAAGGACAATTTCTTGATATTATCTTTGTCCAAACCACTATCATATGTGATAACTACCATTAAACTCTTCAGATTGCTATTTTTATTCATGAAGTAGTAGTTCTTTCTTCCTGCCAGTAGATTAGCTCAAAATTGAATTAAAAATGATACATAGCTTTCTTATATTCCAGCCACCAGACTTGTTAAGTTTCTGTGTCAGGAAAGGCAACAAATTAGTGTTTTGTTCTACAGTGCAGTAATAGCCATTATTTAATAATATTTACCTGTTTGGTGAAAGTTCTTTTATTATTTCCTGGTGTATAGGATGCAGACAAAGAATGTTACTGATTTCATGCTGATTAAGCAATAGGGTTTCCTAATTATCCCCGGCCCTGTTACCAAATTAACACTATCGGAAGTTTTCTACTGAGTCAGTAACATCTTCATTTAATTTGCTGTTCTCATTTAGGAGTGTTCCAAGGTCTATCTGTTACATTTGTTCAGGCTATGCTTAAAACTAGCCTGGAAAGGGAATTAATTTAAGACTGTCCTTACTGTAAGAACAGTAATGAAACGCATAATGACAGTCTGAAGGGTACAGACCTACAGGAACAGGGAGATGAGAAGGAACTTGATTGTAGTCTTGGGTTTAAGAAGAGATGACTGTGTTTGCTGCTGTGTCATGTAATTGAATAGAGATTGCTGCAGAGTCACCGGCTAGTTGATGTTGGAAAGGACCTTTGGCAATTGTCTAATCCAAGTCCTCAGAGCGGAGTCACCTGCAGTAGGTTGCTCAGGGACTTGTTCAGTCAGGTTCTGAACATCTCCAAGGCTGGAGACTTCACAGCCTCTCTGGGCAACCTGTTCCAGAGTGTTCCAGTGCTCACGCAATGAAGTCTTATTCTCAAATAAAATTTCCCATGTTTAAGTTTGTGCCCATTGTCACTTGTCCTTTCACTGGCATCACTGAGAAGAGTGACTCCTTCTCCAGTCCATCTTTTTTATTCCAGTTTTCTACACCTTTAAAAATTCCAGCAACAGCAAATAGGCTGTTACTTGTATGATGTAGACTTGAAGATATTAATACAATGATTACTGATCATGAAACCATAGAATGGCAGTGGTTGGGTCTTTAAAGGTCACCCGTTTCCAACCCCCTGCCACCAGATGAGGCTGCCCAGGGCCCCGTCCAAACTGGCCTTGAATGTCTTCAGTGATGGGGGCATCCACAGCTTCTCTGGGCAGCCTGTCCCCCCTGTTTATAAGCCCCTTTTAAGTACTGTAAGGCTGCAATGAGGTCTCCTCAGAGCCTTCTCCATAGTGAAAAAGACCAACAGCTTCAGCCTTTCTTTGTAGGAGAGGTGCTCCAGTTGTCTGATCATCTTCATGGCCTTCTTCTGGACAGCTCTCAGCATCATTCTTGTGATGAAGAACTCCCTAGGTGTGGAGGCAATATCCAGATGGAGTTACTTGCTTTTCTGTCCACGTCCAACTGCCCTGAGCTATCTTGTACATTTATACTTAGATACTGATCGTGCTCCAAGAGTAATAGGCCAAAGTACGAGTGGGCTCTGGTAATAGAAATAGCTGAAGAGGATGAATAATAAATAAAAGTAAATCTTTGTGTCCTAGGCATCTATTTGTCTCTTCCTTTTGTATTTCTTTTTACTTCAATCACAATGCAGTTTTGAGAAAATTTTGCATGGTATTGCTGAGTTGCAACAGTAACTGCACGAGAACATCATTTTATCTGAAGGTGACACTCCTAAAGATGACTCCAAATTATAAAACACTGAGTAGTGATCTTCACTATAATGAGAGAACAAAACATGCAAAAAGTTCCTTGGCACAAGTTGGCCTGCATCTAGAACCTTAGTAGGTAACTTTGGATTTCAGGAAATGCCGGGAAACTGATTCTGCTGGCTTTGTAATTCAGGTGAAGCTATTTACCTGAATCAGAATTTACATGACTGTACCTGAGCTTTACTTGAGATGATTCAGAAAGGTAATGTTCCAAAGAAGGTAGTGAGCCAGCTGGGGTGGCTATGCTGATGTTCCAGATTGAGGAGTGACAGTCCCTTTGTAGGAAGAAGCCTTAAACAGCTCTTATTAAATCTTTAATTTGAGACTCCCATCTGCCCTAATGTAATGCAAATCCCTTCCTTTTCCTTCTAGAATTAGTGACAACAGAAGGATAAACTGAAAGTTCAAGGAAATGGTTATAATAAAGCACCTTGTGTAGGACTTGAAGTCTCACAATATCTCCAGTTTTCTCATGTTTTAGTCTGCTTTGAACCCTGTGCCTCAGCTGTGGCCAGCAGTTCAGCACTTCATGTTTCATGTTGTTTAAGAGAGATTTGTTACGTAAAATGAGGCTGACAGCACACGCTTCTGGTAACTGCTAATCCAACTGAAGACTGAAGTCATTAATATAAGAGATCTTAGTGGTGTTTACAGTTGTGATGCAACGTCATCTGCAGGGAAATGGAAAAAGTTAAAATATCTTCCAGTTTATGCAATAGCTCAAAACTTCCTTAGTGACAGTGCTCATGGAACGTGGTACTTGAGTTGTACCTGAGAACCAAGTGGGTCAACCACTTTAATCCATTTAATTAATTAATTTAGTGCCAATTAATTAATTTAATGCCACTTAATCAAATTCTACAGCCACTCAGAGCCATAAAGGCTATTTCATGTTT